ACAACACGCGATATAAACGCGAAACGGTTTTTTCGACGCGCCGCCGTCGTTCTTATCTATAAAACGCACCGCAACAACGTTGTGTATTATTAAAACAAACAGTTTTCCGCGGGCCGTAACGCGTAATGTACCGACCTAAGTGCACGCGGAATTCGGTTTTTCTATCAATTTTCTAGTACACCCGTCGCGTATCCATTATAATACTCACGCGCGTATAATAACGACGTACAGGTGTAACGGCGTAACAGACACGGAAATTCGCGTTTTCGCGCCCACGATATCCGCGCGTTTTATTAGCGAGCACTCGCGGGGATATAGCCGGTGAATAAATTTCGGTTTTTATTTTTTTTTTTTTTTTTTTTTTTTTTTTATATATTTTACTATACGCGTATCGTCTTACGCGACGAAAAAGCTTGGATTACCGAGAGCGCTCTCGGGGCGCGAAATTCCCGCGTCCGGGACACCCGAGTAGAACTTAATGCGTTTATTTATAATAATAATATACGTCCCGGCACTTTGTTCGGTTCCCTTTTTTTTTTTTTCGGGTTTCTTTTTTTTTTTTTTTTTTTACGATTTCCCTTGACGCCTAGCCGCATCCCCGCATCACAATATACGCTCGCAAGGTCGCGCGGACCTCTCGAGGACGTGCTTCGAACGCGAGACCGCGGCCGTCGCACACGCGGTGTTTATTGAAATTCCCGACAGCGTCGCGCGCGAGGGCGGACACAACACCCCCGTAATACCGCGTGTAAGCCCGCGAGTTTTTCCGCGTGTTTACAAGTTGTCGAACACTACGCGGTTACGCGTGTACACGCGGTACTGTATAATAAAGTCAGGTATATATGCGTGTTTTATATTAACTGCCGGGCGGCTATGCGTATTATACTATATACAGGACGTTCGCGGTCGACCGTATCGGTTTTCGGCACCGATCGGCTTGTAAACCGCGCGCGCGCAATAGAGTCGGGTGGCCGGTACATAAATCGATGTTCAATATCGGTCGATATCGACGGTGTCGGTTTTTATTCGAACCCGAAATCGTAAAAAAAAAATACACAAACAAATAATAATTATCGCACAAAACGTGTAAAATGTATTTTATTGCTATCCGCCAATAGCACGTTGACGGATGAAACGGTATCCAAGGGTTTCGGACGTTCCCACGCTACCCCCTCCCTCCCGAAACGGACCCCCGTCGATATACTGTCCTCTAGACCGTGTTAAATTATGTCTGGTGATGGAATATCGATACGCCAACAGTGAAGCGTCATTAATTGTGCGGCGGCGTTTGAATAGTCGCTCCGCTACACTACCCGCTACGCGTGCTCGAAAGTTGAACGTCTCGTCAACGGGCCGACGGAAATCAAAAACGTCAATACCGAAACGTATTTAAACTAATGCTCCGTCTAATTCACGGCACGTTCAATTTGTGTTCAAATTCGAACATTTAAAATGGGTAATCGGTTCATCCGCAAAAACAAGCGTGACAAAATATAATGGTAACGTCATATTTTAGAGGAACTGGTTTTTAAATAAAAAAAATTCCGAAAATGTTAATACTTTCTAAAACGTCGCACTGGTCATGTATTCGTGAGTCTTTCTGTATGTTATTTTGGAATTATTTATTGCGTAACTTACAACTGCTATAATTTAAATGTTATTTTAGTACGGGTACAGTTAAATGGAGTGGCGACGCTCCGTCGTTTATCGCATCATCGGGACATACATCTGCGGCCGAAATTATAAATTGAGTAACTTTAAGTCCTTAGATTTCGTCTTGTGAATTATAATTATTACATTTTTTAAATTATTGTAATAATATTTGAATTCCTGTTATAGCGTGTCTGTATTGATGATGATATAATATGATAGTTGGGGGGTATGAGGGTAAAGCCCCCACGACCTTGTGCTGAGACAACGTTATTATTTAGGTGTCCGTGAAAAATTCTTAAATATGTCACTGCTTATAACCGTCATTGACCAATAATCAACGTTAATAATTGTTTCATGTCGGTTTTATCGGATATCGGTTCATGGTTCTTTTTTTTCCAAAAATATTTATTATATTATATCGGTTATCGATAACCGACTATCCGATTGTATATCGGAATACCTCGTATCAATAAAAAAAAAAAAACGGTATCGTAGATTTTTTTTGTATACAGCGTATTATAATAGTCATCGCGTTGTTTTCGAATTCCGTGTACAGCAAGGTAAAATACTTTCAGCACGAATACTGAACCACACCGCAGCCGCACCAAGAGCGAGAAAGTAATCAAAATGTTCTCGGAATAGTCGGCGAGGAACGGCCATTAATGGATACCGTTACGGCGAGAAGACGGAAAATGATAGGACGTACACTCAAACATCCGCAAGAACTACCCGGTACAGTAATAGAAGGCGTGATTGAAGGGAAAAGTACACCTGGACTACCCCGCGGCACGTTAATTGGTTAAATTAGGAAAGGGCGAGAAACTGGCAGCTATAGAGCACTCAAACAAATGGCCAGTAACCGTGACGAACGGAGAAGGAAACTGCAAATAAACTCGCGGGTCGAGAAAAATAAAATGTATAAAAAGCACGCCCTGCACTGCTCTGAACCGGCCGCTTAATCAGACCAACGACCACATTTACCGGACACGTAAAAACACCACGCGGCATACGGTTTGGGGTTATTCGGGTCACCGAAAACATTAGAATATAATATTATGTCGATGGTAATCTCGTCGGCGGCGGCGGTCGGTGTAACGTATCTTGGACAAATGTTACGATGTACATATTTTTTAATTTTTTTTTTTTTTATTTTTGGTTTTTTAAAACGGCACACCGACTATTAAATTTACCGTTGCATATTCGCCGACCCAGATTATAATGACGTAGCCACCGATTCTGTGCGCGTGTCACGTATTATTTTATATGCCCATTTCGAAGACATTTGGCGGCGTACATTTTAACAATATTATGTTTTGCTCGTCGAATTAAAAACGCGACGTCAAAATAATGTTTTTTTTTTTTTTTTTCTTTCGAGTCGTACAGCGAAGACCTTAATTTGACGTACGAGCTGTTTTATAGCGTTTTGACACAGACTGTATGTATTCGCGTTTTATCCCATTATACCGATGTATACCGCACAGCGATCCATTGTTCAAACTTTCCCCTCGCCGCCGCCGTGGTCGTTTTCCTTCTTTTCTTATTTCCTTGTTAGGCGTCTACTCGTTACAATCTCTCTCGGTTTCGGAAACAGTCTGAAGGGTGTTGTTCTGCGGGTCTAAAGCAGGGGTGGGGAACATCATCGAGATAATGCGAAAACGAATTCAATCGCATACTACCGTGTATATACAAGATGACTGCTGTAAAAAAGTGTACGCCCTTCACGGCGTATTTCTTTTTTTTATATATATATATATATAAAATAATAATAATAACTAATTCTGTTATACGCCTGAAATGTGCCAGTGCGAATAACGATTTCGGAAAAAAAAAAATATATATATATATCACGTGCCCGATTTTTTCCACCCCGGCACATATAATGCAATCCTATATTATTATTGTACAGTGTCGTTCGGGGGAAAATTCTATACCCGACACTGCGGTCTATACGTTGAAATCCGAATTTCGCTCCGTTTTTATGGAGCCTTGGACCAATATAGTATTATATAAATAGGCTGATTCTGCTGATTGGCGCGCCATTGTTCTGGATGGACAGTTGGAAGGGAGGATACACAGACAAATTCAATTCATATCTGTGCGCAACGATAAATCATTTGAAAAACGATTTCGATCAGAGTATTATTAGCAATATTTATTTCCTCTCGTTGCCCACGGTAACTCGATCGGAAATCAATAAAAATTTCACCGAAAATCCCCAGTTTTTTTCAGTTTTTTAAGAGGAACACAAAGAATATCAGAGAAAATTACCTTGTCGGTACGCCGACTAGATCGAATATGCTACGAGCATGTTCCTATACGAAATTCGAATAGATCAAGATAAAGCCGGTAAAAAAGTCGTTTATTTGGGTGACAAAGGGGAAAAAAAACTCATTAAAATTAATACTAATACATTCCTATCGCTTAGAATCCAATACTTGCATAATCGTATTACATTATAATTAGAATCTATTTCGCCAGGAAACTAAAAATTAGGATTATTTGCGAGGTATAACCAATTTACCCGCAGTATTATAATGTTATTTTAACGTCGTTTAATACGGAATTATCGCACTTAGCGCAATATCGTTTTGCAAAATTATTATTCGATAAGCAAATAGCGTTTTCGGTAAAGTAATATTTTCGACGAGAATTTATCGAACTCGATTAATATTTTAGTTTTATAGCACTTACCAGGTTTGTATATATCACCGCGTGACTGTCGGAAATGAAAACCGTAACCGTTTCGTTCGAAGGCTTTTAATAAAAGGTTCGCGTGTCGTTGTGCATTTTCAAACAATTTACAGTTTCGAAAATTGATCGTACAGACTGTACTGTTATATGTTATGCAGTTCGAATATTTGACAATAATTTTGGTAATTTATTCGCTTTAATGATGATTTGTTGAGTTGTTTGCACGAAACACTAGACGTGATGTATCACTTATGTACTGCGTCATAATGGTTTTTTAGGAAGAAAATGTACGAGCTATTTGCTACAATATATCATACAGGGTGCATCGGTGTATACGAAGTATTTAATAACATCCTATGCGATTACAACGGAAATCATCAAACATCGCAGGCACACCCTATATACAGTAAACATACGTAAATATGTACAGTTTCTAAAAAAAAAAAAAAAAAACTATTGCGATGTTCCGGGAAATTAATCGAAGGCACAAAATATAATATTATAATACCTACGTGCGGCTGACGCTATACAAACACAGCGCAACTTTGCAAAACCGCTCTTTATTCTGCACGATCGACGTATATGATTATTATCATTATTGTTTGGGTTTATTCGGTCTCTCTTATCCCGTATCACGACCAAACCGTCAGCAATATTCACCCATGGCCGAAATAATCCAATTCGGTCCACTTCCTGATGTTGTCTTTCGCGTTGTCCCGCCTCAACCTCAGCATTCCCAAAGGTCCTTTCCCTACGGGGTTCGATTCCGATACTGCCCTTAGTGTATAGTGAGCGTTGGCTTCTCCTTGGTGCGCGACCGCAGTGTTCCGTTTTCGACGATCCCTAAAATACTATTTTCAGTTTTTCCCGTCGTCTCCAGGTCTCCGATTATGTTATCCTCCTTGCCGGTCCAAAGATGTTTTTCAATAATTATTAAAATGTGATCTTAATTATTAGGGTTGTTTTTTTTTTTTTGGATATATAATTTTGACGCAACGGTCGTAAATAAACATTGCAATATTACAAATTATGAATCTAAATTGACAGTTTACGTATTCATACATGAACTCGAACGCGGTACGGAAAATATGTTTTTTTTTTTTTTTTTTTTTTAAACGAGTCAATTGAAAATAATCATATTATTACGTATACTCAAACATACGGAAACGAAATGACGATTTAATCTAAATTGACGGCGATGGCGGCGGCGGTTCAACATAGACAATAATTTGTTAATCCCGACGCGCTAATTCGATTACGTATTATTTAAACGACTAATTTTATCGTTATAATTATTGTCCCTCCGCATTAAATATACAGTGAAAAAGATAGTTGACAAAAAGAAAAAAACTTTTTCACTTAAATAGTTAATTATTTCTGTCGATGACTGTACCTATGCCACATATAATTATTGTTTTTACGTACATCTTTGGTGAGGAGAAAATGGGCTCAAGTCGATTAAAACGGTTTCAAATATTTGTTCGATATAAATAAATTCAATTTTGAAATGTCACTCGTGTGATTCAAATCAAAAAATAAGGGGAAAAAATTAGATAAGACGAAATTAAAAAAAAAAAAATTGCCGCCGATTGACCAATTTTGAAAGAATCCGATAAACTATACACACGCCATGTGGTATAGCCTCGTAAGGATATGGAAATGAAGGCGACAGCGGAAAAATAAATAATGAAATGTCGCGCAACTCCGACGAAAAGCGCCCTCCGCAATGGCCTACTCCGCGTAACAGTAGATTTGAGTCGAGATACAGCTTCCTACGCAGCACGACAGGGACTCTACTCACGGAATCTCATCCATAGACGGAATGGCGTATGGATGCAAAGCCGACGAGCCGATACGCGCAAGGACAATAGAGGACCTGCCGCCGCGTGGTAATCCGAACGCGGTGGAAATATTACGAAAGGCTGTAGAATGCGAACGCAAAGAGACGAGTAAGACGACCAGCACCTGAAACAATAACGCGTAGGACTGTCCAGGCGGGAAATTCTTACGCGACAAATTCGAAAAAGATATCAAACCGATCGACTGCACTGGCTCCGAAGAGGAATATGACTTGCTGGCTGGAAAGTAAAACGACAGACGAATACATATACACTCGTATTTTCCATATAACGAGTTTTCCGTTTCGTCAGTTTTCAATTGCTTTGCCGAAAACGTGTACACGTATATTAACGTGCGGTCTAATTAACCGGACACGATGCCGCGGTCGACGATAACCGTTTCCGTCGACTCGCCGCGACCTTCCCCGGGCTATATTGTGCATGAAAACTGTAACCAACCGTCGGCCATCCGATCCGGCGCGGCGCGACAAATTAAAAGAGGATTTTTTTTTTTTTTTCTCATTTTATTATTTTCCATTTTCATTTTTACCCTCGTACGTTTTACCGCGGCGTCGTCGGTAATCCCCGGCACTCGGGATCCGCCACGGGCTGCAACAGCTAGTTTTTCCGCGCCATTTGCCCCTCGTCCCCGAGCGGATTGCCGTCCAAACCGTCGCAGAGCTCTCTATACGTGAGCGCACACAATACGACCGAAAATTGGCGCGCGCTCACATTGACACACGCGTACACGCGGATTCTCGGCGGTATCGGCGTGCGTGCGTGTGTGTGCGCGCGTGTGTGCGCGCGCGCGAGTGCGTGCGTGCAGAGCTCGACAATGGGCAGGAAACGAGCGTAAACCCGTCAAAACACTTTGCGCGCTCCCGGAGCCCTTTTCGCGAGGCCGTGCTATATACGTATATGTGTGTATTATATTAAACGAGCTCGGCGGCAGCGGTGTGTACAGCATCAATCACGCGGACCAAATAATAATAATAATAATAATAATATGTTCACGTAGCTGCGTTTACTGTATAATGTACACGCGACCGAATAATATATCGATCGGGTTCGAATAATGATAATAATGATATGCGGTGTGCCCGTCGTCGTACACGATTCGGGAACCCGGGCGTCGAGGACACCGGAGCCGCGGGGACGCACGAACGCCGTCTTTTGTGCGCCGCGGCCCCGTTTCGCGTTTAAAACCGGCGCGTTCGCGCGCCGCGTACTCCGCGATAATTCGCACATTGCCGTACCGCGTTTCGCATCGGTTTCCCGTCGTTTTCCCGGCGCGTTCGATACGCCCTCGGCGGGAGTATGTTTTCGTGCCGGCGCGATCGGCTGCGCATCGGACCGGATTGCTCTCGGCCGGACGGCCGGGCGACAGACAGCGTCCGATCGGCGCGCAACGGTCACGGACGTATTGCCGCGATACGCGTCGTTATCCACACGGTCGAAACGATATCTGCTTATCGTCCGTCTATACCTGTAGAATTCGTCCACCGGGACGTGGAACACGGACGTACCGACGCATAAATCGTTGTATTTTACATTTGGTCCCGGGGAAAGAAACCGCCGGAATCATTTTTATAATCGTGTCCCGGTGTACACTTTTCGATTTGTTTTCCGATTCTGAGTGCAGCGACACTAATGTATTGGTTTTACGTAGATGTTTATCGTATTGTCTTTTGCGTGAACGCTTTTCTACCAGAAATTTTACCCCGGCGTGTGCAACGCAGACTGGAATGGTACTGTAGAGAGGTCGTTTTTCGATTTTCCCGGGAGTTTTCCCAGCAAATGTGGAAAAAAACACGGGAAAACCGGGAAAAACAAAAAAAAATGTATTATTTCACCGCAATGTGACATATATATATATATATATTATTGACGAAGCATCATTATCGACTGAACTCCGCTCAGAATCGTTTTTTCGTTAGCAACGGTTTATCGTTGCTTACAGATGCGAATTGATTTCCCCTGTACGTCTTACCTACCCTAACAACAGTGGCCGCATCCATCGTGCGAATTATGTCCGTCCATTTTTCGGTCTAAATTGCATAATTACGCGTATTTTCAACGTTTAATTCGCGTTTAATCGAAAACTGTACGAAGTTAACTCAAGTCCTTCATTCCCCGAGACAAATATGTATGTATATGAATTGTATATTATGTTTATACGCTAGAGTTGACCCGGGAGTTCACGACTTTTCGTTACCGAACGGCAGCGCGGAGTTAACTCCGATGTTTAATACGACACCGGAGTTCACTCGAAATATTTCATCCGGACGGACTCGGTTCATAACGAGCGGGATAACGAAGACAGGCGGGGTATCATAATACACGTTCCGGGCAGATTCGTCAAAATGTCGACTCTCCCGAGATGCGCGATAAAACTTACGTTTTGTTAAACACAAAACGCCCGTTTTTATCGAAATGATTTTTTTTTGAAAAAAAAAAAAATGAATGTCTACACGCGAATTTTCTTCTCGCGCGATGACACGTAATTTTTCTCGTAACATTTTTCCATACCCCCGACCGATGTATTGTCACCGTCGTTCGCGTCACTCGAATTCCCGATATTTCGAACGGTAACCACTGCCACAGTTCACTATTTCTACGTTGACTTCTGTACGCTCCCCTTGGTCGCGAGAAAACGTATTAACGGTCGTCACGGGTCAGTCGGCTTGTAAATCTCTCGACGAAAAATAATACAAATCCAATATCTTTACTACCCAACCGCGTATTATGTTATCATGCGGCCGTTCCGTCGGGGCTGCCGCGTCTATTGTCGATAAAATATAATATTTAACACGAGCTCCGCTCGGAATCCTTTTTCTTTTTCTTTTTTTTTTTTTTTTTTGTTCGCAATGATTTATCGTCGCTCGTACAGTTAGGTATGGTAGGTAACCCTAAATCAACCCTATACGCGGTGTGTCCTTTCCGCGTAAATCACGGCCGCGCCCGCGGCGCGCAAACAGTATTTCCTAACCTTTTATTAATAACACGCAGGATGCCTATAAAATTTCGATTTACGAAACCCCGCAAGAACGTCCGAACGTGACCTTTTATTTTCGTATAATAGCCGGTGTTCGGTTGCGGGCGGCTGCCGCAGCCGCGGTGTCGCACACAGCGTTTGTATGAATTACAATGCAATCGTGTTTCGGGAACCCGTCCGCGGCCCGCGCGGTCCGTCTCGCCGGCTCTTGTTTAATAACATTGCCGCCGTTCGAAACAAAAATGATAAACACGTGTTTTTATTCCATTATAAAACGTAATTTCGCATTATTACGGCGCGCTACACCTCGACCGCGCGTTATTAAAAACGTCGCGTTTCGTTTCGCTCGCGGTCCCGGACGTTTCGCGAAATATTACCAAAGTTATCCGTTACGAACGCGCGCCTCCGCGCGTAATTCAAATTTATACACGTTATATTCCGCGAATGAATATATTGAATTACACGCTAATACCGCGCAGAACGCGAACGTTCGAAATTTCGGAAACCGAAAGAGCAAACCCCCCCCCCTTACACACAAACACATACACACACACACACACACACACATGTAAGCGTGCAGCGCGGCCGAACTGTACGGCCAACTCGCATACATCATTCTTTCGCAAAGTTTTCTTATCAAAAGTTTATAAATTTAATTCGACACCATCTGCGTTATATGGAGAAACAGCGGCGGCGGCGGCGGCAGTACTATATATTTATGCACGTATATATAAAATACTATCTAGTTAATTAAAATTGTGAGCAAACTACCGCCGCCGCCGCCGCCGCCGCCGCCGAGTTATAAACCCAAACGGAATCGTGTGAAACAAACGAATAACACAACGAAAATATTACACCTAAGCGTACGCGTCCGGCGCACACTGGTGGTCGCGGACGATGTTGCGTGGTCGTTTCGGGCGAGTTCATCCGGATCGCTGAGAACGCCGTTATCGTTTAGATCGGTGTTTCCGAACCGTTTTTTTCAAATTTTTTTTAACACATTACGGACGGACGGTGGGGGGGGGGAGCGCTGTATCACCGAAGACGCAATACGGTGCTTTGCTACGCTGTAAAAATGGGCAACTGACATTTTGTGGCGCTTGCAATTGATTTAACAGACATTTATAAATGTTATTAAACACCGTAGGTATAGTCGTCGATTTTACTCTCGGCCGGAACACGAGAGAAGGCGCTAACAATTCAATTTACTAGATAAATGTTCACATTTATATTTGTTTGAAACAATATTATGTGTTATGGAGTCCAATCGATCGCGACAATATTTTACGACGGTCAAAGAGTCGAACAAAAGACGTGCCAATAGTAATAACAACGGTCGGCAACCATTGTTTTCGATGCTAAATTAATTTTTTTACTGAAATCTTCTTAAACGTGATCGAATTGTTGACCGGATAATTTTTCGAATAGCCTCTATTAACTTGCCGAATAGTTTACAAGATTATTGTTTTTTTTTTTTATTTTTTTACCATACCAACTATAGTGGGCTATTTGCTTATCTGCTAGTGAAAAATACATCGCATTCAATGCGCTAGGTAGTAAATTAAAATATTATTATTATACCGTCCTACTGCCCCAGACAGTCAGATTTCGCAGTTAAAAATGTTGAATTTTTTTGAAAACAGGTTTCGACCGTTTGTCGGTAAATATTTGAACTGTTATCGCGAAAACTACTATAGACAACTAGCCCGAAATGCTGTTCCACTGACACCGCCTTGTACTATTCATTATCTACGTGTACAAAAATATTCTATTTTACTGGTTGTAGTAGAAAGCCGGATATTAACTGCCAGTATCGCTAACCCGTGCAAGTAAAAAGAACATTTAAAAACCGAATGATTAACAGATATTAAGATGACTCTACACCCACATCATCCAGTGTTTAACTAACGGGTGACATTACGAAATTATGTTCAGAGTAACTTAATTTTGCCATGCGACCATGGTTCGTTAGACTGAGACAGAAGATGCGGATGTTGCGTCCTCCAAATATTATTCTAAAGTTCGTTTTTTTCTCATATAATTTACGTATATCAAAAATTGTAATGATAACTCATGAAATCCATGTGTGATTCCATTTACGTATATCGTAATGAAATCGAAACTGAAAATTAAGTTGTCGATTCAATATTATTCAGTGTCTCGGGCAAAATGTAATAATTAAAATGTGTACGTTTCATTTACAACTTTCGGAAAAGTTAATCGACGCGATTATCGCGCAAGAACCCGCGGGAAAGTTATTTTTTTTTAAACATATCAAAATATCATTATCAGT